CCGCCACCCGCTCCGCTATCTCCTCCCAGCCTCCCCATCTGCTCTCCACCGGGCCAGGCCGCAACATGTCCTGGAGGGATCACCTTGGGGTCCAGATCAAGGACCTTGCACTTGCTCCTTGCAAGTGGCAAAAGCCCCTTTGCAACCTAGGGCTTCAGAGTCTTCTGGGAGGCACGGCCTGACCCCCCCACAAGGGAGCCGGGGCTGCCAAGATTAAAGGGGTCGTTATCACCCTCTCGAGGACGGGGGAGAGGCATCAGGGCGGAGGGCAGGCGATGGGGTTATGTTATATCCCAGCAGGAGGAATTCATTTGCACCCCGGTACGAACCTGCGGCGAGACCGGCTGGTGGAGCGTTTCTAGGGGCAAAGCCACGTGCTCTCGTCCGCCGGAGGCCACCTGTCCCCGGCAGCCGGTGGGGCTGCTTGAGCTGGCCCAGCCGCACCTCTGCACGGGCAAGGAGCCGGGAGAGCAACCACCGGGTTAGGTAGGCGCTCCAGGAAAGGATGCTGGTGCTTTGGTGCCAGGGCTGAGCTGCACACGGCTGCAGAGCCAGCCCGGTGCTGGTGGCTGACACCCTAGCGAGGAGCTATAAAAAGTCGGGGCCTGCAAAGCAGCCACCGAGCGAGTATTCAGCGGGGCTTCTCCGGCGCGGTGCCCATTTCAGTGCCACTCTGTCCGGCCAGGCTCCCCCTACCCGCTCCACCCCCTCGCTGTTCTCCACTTTGATGTGCCGATTCCGGCGTCCTCCCCAGTGCTGGGACAGCGTGGGACCCCCCCACACACACACACACACACACTTACTTGTTGGGAACAGAGGCCTGGGATTGTGGGGGTCATGTGTGCCCAAGCAGGGGTAGGGGGGGACCTTGCAGCTTTCCTACCTTCCTTTGGATCAGGGATGAAGCCTGATCCAGACAGCTGGCAGCCCTGCCCCACCACCCTCCCTGCCCTGGGAACACACTGGGCTCTTTGGTGGCTGCACATTTCAAGAGGCTGCAGCCGGCCAGGCACCAGGGCCCAGACACGGCTGCTGTCATTTCAAAAGCTCTTAATGTGCAAATGCTTAAGTGCAATTTGATATCGTTCACCCGGGAGCCCTTTGATGCGAGGCCTGCTAACAGGATGAGAGAGGCACCCCCCTCCATCCAGCTGTGACAAAATGACCCCACTTCAAAGCCAGGCTCCCAGCTCAGCTCCTGACCAGTGGTAGGCACAGCCCTCTCCCTCCCTTTCACAGCCCCTCCTGCTGGGCCCGTTTTGTTCCTCCCCGTCCAGGAAAGACATTCGCTTTCCACCAGGAATGTTAATTCACGTGGGGATTGTCAGGGGCTCTCCTTGGCAGCAGCAAATCCCAGCAACCCTCTGCTAGGAAGCCGGGGAGGGACCCGAGCCTGTAGGTTATTGGAGCCCGGGAACGGGGATTGTGGGCACGCACCCTGGGTTGAAGGTTAACGTCCGGACAGCCACGTGCAAGCGTGCGTCGGGCCTTAGACACCAGGCCCGCAGGTCTCATTTCAGCTGAGGCTGCGGCAGCTCCACAAAAGCCAGGGAGACTGGTAAAGGCACCGGTGTGCAGGCGGTGCTGTTCGAATAGCGCGTTACCTTTCAGGGAAGCAGGGAGCTGGCCGTGCGCTGGCCGCCATCGGTCCCCCCGCACGCTGCCATCGCTCGCCTGTGGGCCACGTCAAGGCTGTATCCTGCCCCCAGTAGGGACCAAGATGCCCAGAGGTCTCCCAGGGCCAAGGCAACGGCCCGGGAAAGGTCAGGACCTGGCTCTGCAGTCAACACGGCCCTTCACAGAGCAATCAGCTAGCACCGGGGCTGTCATCTCCCTCTGCTCCCGTTCGTTCCCTGCCTGCGCAGGGGCGGCAGGATTCAGACAGACAGACCCAAGCCCAATGGCCTGCGGGTACGTGAGGCCTCATCGCCCCAGGTCACCGATGAAAGGCCAAGGACAAAGGAATCGGGCACGTGCCTTTCTTTTACTCTTTATGATAAAGGAAGCCTGGATGCTTCCTTTTAAACGAGTATTGAGGCCAGGTTTGAAACAGCAGGCATTCAGGTCTCGGGGGGCTGCTTCCCCGGGAAGACCCTATGGAGGGCTGATAAGAGCTGGTGCTATCACCAGCGCGGCCTTGTGCCAACGTCTCCTTGACGGACCCTCGTAGCCCTTCACCCGGCAGCCCCGCACCGAAACAAAGCCTTCCCCTCCCAACGCATTCTTCCTTCTTGCCCTGGCGCCAGCCAGCCAAGCCCCGTCTCCATTACAAAGCCCTGCCAGCCCATCTGTGTCGGCACAGCTCGGCCCCTGGTGTGGACGCAGCTTGGCTGGCAGAAGGCAGCTCTTGCTGACAAAGCTTTTGCACGCAGGAGAGCTGGACGTAACTCTGGTGGCACAAAAACTCCCGTCAGTGCTGCAGTAAGAGCAGGGGGCTCCGGGGCTGCAGCTCTGGCAGCCACAGCCTCGTAGCACAGGAGCCTCCTGGAGAAAAGGAAGATCAAAGCGAACTGAATCAATAGAGAGGTTCCCAGGGTGAGCAGCAAAACCTCCGCACTCCTGCTGATGCAGTGAAGCTCGAGATGCACGCAGGACACCTGAATTCCCCATCGGTAATTCGACGGCAGCAATGATTCCAGGGCCTGCATCTACAAAAGGGCAGGAATTGTTTAGGGTCACTCTTACCTGGAAACCTGTGCACGAGGGAGATGTTCAGATCCATTCGCCTCGGTGCTTCACCTACAGACAGTCTCAACCCTTTATAACTGTGATCTTACATCCCCCAAGGCCCTGCTGTGCCCCTCTGTCCAGGGCAGGGCACCTTTGGGAGACCAAGAATCAGGCCCTTTCCTCAGAGTCTTTTGTAGCTGCTCCCTTTGCAAATTAAACCCTCATCAAGCAGCTTTTGGGGGGGAGTTCGAACCCCTCTGCTGCTGATGGTCGGCCTGATGAATTCGTCTCAGGCAGCCGTCAAGAGCAGAGGAAGAGCCCCGAGTGCAACCAGGACCCACCTGACATCCCAGCGTGGAGGCAACTTCCAAGTGAGAGAAATCAAACCCAAGCATTAGCTCCACACATTTCCATGTCCCCCATTTTCTCCCTCACCTCTCAATAACACGGTATCCAGACACCAGGATCCTCCACAAAACCACGCGAGCATCAGTCACGGTCCTAGGACTGACACTGCAATGATGGATTGCAGCTATTTTAGCACATGCTAAATTGGCCAGGTACACCTGTCCTGTGGGCACTGCAGTCCAAACAAGCCGGCCCGGACTTTAAATCCCATTACTTCTAGTCCAATAGTAGCTAGGCTAATAGCTGCAGCGGGTCACAATAGTTCAGGGGATTTTTTTTGGAGGGGGAATCAACGTCTCCCATGCAACAATCCTAATGCATAGGCTGGAAAATTATCATTTTAGAAATTTGCAATTTCACTTTGACCTTGTAGGGAATTGTTCTTCTTTTTTATACTGTTTTTTTTAATGACTTTTGCCTCATTCCCTGCCATGCAAGGACGGGCACAGCAAAAACTAAACAAACAAGCACTTTTCCTATTTTTGTCAGGGGACAACGTGGGGAAAAACCAGACGCGACGAGTGAACGCTTAAAGGACCTTTCAAAACTCCAAAGGGAAAATGCTCTAAACTTTGTTTGAAGCATCCGTTTCTCCAGAAATGTCAAAAACACTCGTTTGCGCTCCGAACCAGAAGGAAAGCTCACGGGGGAACATGCATTTCTCAAGTACAAACCCGAGGGGCGGGCTGGCTCTGTTAATAGCATCTGTTGTGTCTACCACCCAGGATCACGCACGTGTTCATGATTCTGAAACATGCAACGGCGCAGAGCCATGTATTTCAGTTGCAAAGATAATGAGGTCCCCTTTGGGGCTCAGATGATGCCAAAAACCCGTCCAACACCACTCTGGGGATTTAGGATGCGCCCAAAGGCAAATCCCTGCAGAAGGTTGGTTTTTGGCCTTTTATGGCTGCCCAGTCATTACCATCATCGTCATCATCTAGACACGGGACCGACTGCAGGCTGACATCCCTCCCAGGCCAACTGTGACTAAAATTCACCTCCAAGCGTCAGGGACAAATAGGCAACAGTCTACTCATTTAGAGGCTTCTTTTGAACATGGCTCTTCTCTGCAGTGCTCCAGACCATCGCTTATAAAGGGGCTTACCCACACAATACTGCAAGGGAGGCAGGCACTGGCATTGCCACTTAACAGATGGCACAGAGAAGTTAAGGGACTTGCCCAGGGTCACAGCAGCCTGGAGCAGAGGCTCTGTACAGGGGACAGAAGAAACTGGAGTCTCCCACAAACCTGGGGAAACAGGGACACTGAAGAATTAAGCAATGCAAAGGGAGCTATTCCCAGCCGAGTGGGCTAAACCTGCCCAGGCAGGAGGGGGCTTATCTTCTAAAGGGCAGCATTCGCCTCCTGGGAGGTCTGCTCAGCTCTTTGCTCGATCCCAGCCAGACAGGTCTGTGGATGCATCTGTGCCACTGATCTCCACGATTAGCAATGCAGGGCTGTTGGCTGGTAACAGCAGGCAGCGGGGATGGGGGATGGCTGCAGGAGCAACCTTCCTTCCTAAAATATAACAAAGGCCTTTGGACGTTTTATGCTTAGGGACCTGTGTGGACTACACCAGGGGTGTTAGGGTGCCCATCACTACAGGGGGACCCAGTCACAGGGACCTACAACATAGATGGTCCCCAGTGCCTGGCAGCCTGGAGCTTTAACCCGGATCCGTGCCAGCCAGGCCCCTATTCATGCCTCATTTCAACCTTGCTGTACCCAGCTCCCTAGCACGCTACTGGAGCCAGGACAGGCTCCCAGGTGCTTGCGGGCGTGTGTTTGGGGGTGGGGGTGGCAAAGACACACACACACTCTCTACCTTACCTGGACATGGGGAATAAAACTCTCTCCTCACTGGCAGCTGACAGCAGAAGCCAAGACTGAACGAGGCAGGAGCCAGCGGTTGGAGACAGAGACAGAGACAGAAACGAGTTTATTCCCCCACCTCAGGCTCACAAGATCACAGCGGCAAGAGCGATACGTACAAAGCGACGCAACGTCCCATGGAGAATGTGAGAACAGAGGACACGGACGAGGACAAGGATGCTCCAGGCTAGCTGCTGCCAAAGAACAGAGGCAAAGCCATGGAGCTCTGCAGCAGAACTGCTGAGGGCAAGGGGGAGGGACACGGGGCCAACTCGGATGGAGAGATGCGCCTTTAAGGCATGTATGTGGAACGAGGGCAACCCTTTCTGGGTGCTGTGCTTGATGGGGGATGCTTCAAAAGGGGTGCCATGCACTGTACTGGCGAGGTGAGGGAAGCAGCAGACAGAAGACCATCGCTCCATGTCAGCCAAGCCACACTTGGTAGCTTCAGCTACCAAGTAAACATAAAGGCCGTTAGCTGGTCTAGGACCTGCATATGCTAACAACCACATCTGGGTGCCTACTGCAATAAACCCCCCTGCGCCCACTCCCTGGCCTAGCTCCCAACTCCTACTGGAGCATGATGCCTGCGTATTGCTTGTAGAGATGGAGCCCCCCCACAACCCCGACTTCCTACTCGTGGCCTCCCTGCAGACCCTACACCTTCAACTCTTCTCCTGCCTGTGCACACACCTGCGCAGGATATTTTAGCTGCCTGCATGGGATCTTCTTCCTAGAATCAGCCGTGGCTTCCCTCTGCACTCCCCTAAGGTGCCCTGTGCTCAAGTGGGCCGTGGCACTGCCCGCCAAGTGCCCAGGGCAAGCTGGTTGGACATTTGACAAAAGCTCGACCAAAGCAGTGGTCCCAACAGTCAGAGCACTGCTTTTTCGCTGTAACCCAAAGGGACTGGACAGCCTGCTGCGTTAGGTAATTCCCACTTCAGCTCCTACAATCCTCTGGTTCCATCACAGGGGAGGAGGGTTGGCAATTAATGCAAGTTCAGAAAACCCAAGAGCAAGCAAGGTTTTGCCTGTAGATTTGCTCCGGGCTTCAGTCACCAACAGCATTAACCACCTAAACTTTGGCAACACTTGCACAGCTTATCGGTGAAGTGCTTTGAATCCACTTGTAAGAGATAGATCCAAGCGCGCTGGGAGCTGTTATTATTGCGAGAAGCAGGCTGGCTTTTAGCTCCAAGTCCAGGAATTTTTAAGCCTTGCCCAGTCGCATTCTTGCCAGAAGTAAGATTTTAAAAAAGAAAGAAAGAGAGAGAAAGAGGGACAGAGAGAAAGCAGAGCAAAGACCCTTTCCTATTCAATTGGCCAGGTCTATCATGTCACTATTAAGTAGCAGGCCTGCTGGGTAGTAAGTGAAGCGGCACAGGGTAACTTGATAAAACACCATGCTCTCATTGTAAGGTTCTCTTTGATGTAAGACCTTTGATATCTAATCAGCCTAGAGCTTATTTATCAGCATCCTCCGGCCTGCTCTCCACTCATGCTTGAACTGACTGAATGCAAGGGAGATACTGAGAAGACTCTTTCTGTTCCAGGTGTAGGGGAAAGACAATGCAGTTTGTATAAGACTCCGGAAAGGAAAGTGTTTGGCTGATGAAAAAACAACTGGATACCAGAGAGAGATGGTTTAAGGGCGATTAGAAGTGACCGAGTAGGAGGTGGCAATCCAGAGAGAGGTCCCCCTTTCCGATGGAAGCTAGAGTGCAGGAGACAGTGGGTAGGAGAAGAGCATGCTCCATTTGCAAAGCTGGATTCAGTATGGACTTCAAGGAAGGGAAGCCATGAAGGAGATGTGCCACTGTGAGCACAGAGCATTGGTTTTGGCTGTGAGCACGGCATGTTGGTTTTTGGCCATAACAGGTACCTGGGGGTGAAACCCACTTCTTAGAAGCATCAGACTTGAAAAAAAAAAGCTAACCCCCGCCCTGCAATCCAACAGCTGAGCTTGCCCAGGTTCACCGCAGACAAGCGGCCATACTGTAGAAGCCAGCCAGCACAGCTGGCCAGCTAGATGGGCCCCTCGGCAGGGGACTTTACAAAATGAGCAGATACTGGACCGTTCTCTCTCCTGCTGGAGATGCCACTTCCACTTTCGAACTGACGCCCATTCCCTGACCAGCATCTAGCAGACAACTGCCCCACGGCTACTCACACCATCTCTGCTCCAAGGCGTTAGTAGAGGTCTCAGCTGCCAAGCTGGCATCTCCAGCGGCAGTCACATTCCAGCACTGGTAAAAAAACCCCCACAAGTTGCTCTCTATTGCTTTTCTATTGATGCCCCTGCCTCCTTGGGGCAGGACAATGAAACTACCCTGCAGCCAACTGATGTCCTGTGTAATAACCTGAGACTGGCTGTCAGAAGGCTGCTGCCACCCCTGGCTCAGGGACAGTCTCCCATTCCAAGGCCCAGATGTGAATGGAGGGGTACGCTGCTTTAAAGGAATTTGGGTCTTCCAAGTACTTTGAGCAGTCTCAATATTTCCCATTCACCAGAAAGCTGAGAGCATATGTACTTGCCCTTCAGAACAAGGATGCTTTAGAAAGCCTACACACAAGGCTTCTGCCCCATCCAAACCCTTCTGCAGTTGCCACATCATTTGGGCTCCTGCTAGGCTTAGCTGAACAGGTGTGAGGGATGTCAGGGAAGGAAGCAGCTTTGGGAAAACAGTGCTGCAACTGGAGAAAGACAAAGCACAGGAAGGGGCCCAAGAACTGTGCTTTCTGAGGCACTAGCCCAGTAAAGCAACAGCAGATTCCGATCTCTGCAACATGCAATTGAAGTGCACGAACTGCTCCAAGCCAGAGACGCAGCACAGCCCAACGTGCGCATCCATGCGGCTCCCCTCAGCCTGAAGTTGCCAGGAGTTGCTTGCCCTGCAATAGCAATATGCTGAATGCTGAAAGGGAAGCGCTTTCCCACCAGCCTGTTTCACTAGCAGCTACTGGGAGGTTGTCCACAAGCACAGCGGCAATATACACCACACTAGGACACCGGGCCATGACTAACTTGCATCTCCATTTTGAAATGTGCCATGGGAGGCTTCTTCAATTGGGGAATCCTTCCCTGCCTCTGCTCTGAGTTTAATAACTTGCACCAAGCTTGAGAAGTGCAAGAGGCAAGAAGCACTGGATGGTGACATCTGCTGAGAAGGAACAGCTGTGGGAGGAGCAGCCCTGGGTCAGAGAGAACCTTACAAGGAGGATCTGTTTGTGCTCTGATACTGAGGGGCAGGTTTAGCCCTTGCAACATTGCCCTGTGCTGAAATCAAAGCCCATACTCCCACCATCCCATATACAGAGGGTGAGCAGGAGGCTCCAGGACCCCAAACACCAGGAGACACTGATGACAGAACAAAAACAGAGGGAAAGAAGCCAGGCCCAGGAAACAAAGATGAGAGCCGTTACTACAGGGTGAAGTGACCGCTTGCTCTTTCAAGTAATTCCCAGAGTCCTGTGTCTCCACCTTGCTGGACTGAGCAGCCATGGTTCCTCCTCTGGGCACCAAGGGGAAGGGAAGATCATGGGATCCATCACCGCAAGTGAAGGGTTAAAGCGACTGTCAGGATTGCCCCCAAGAAGAGGACAAAGGGAAGCCACGTCTTCACAAATCCCCCTATGCTGCAAGACAGAGAGAGAGAGATGATTAAAAAGGGGAGCAGATGGCAAGGGACAGCAAGGGAGAAACGTATGGGGATCACTGAACCATACTGTTCTGCTACTCATCACCCCACTGGCACCAACACTGCAATAGGGATGTTCTATTCATCAGGTTAAGACTTGATAGCAGTGCACAGGCAACTGGGCAGTCACTTCTCTCTGCTGTCAGTTCAAATCTGGGCCACAGGTTAGCTCTGCCTGACTATTTCATGGCTTTACAAATGGAGATGGCAATCTTGGATAAGACCTTAGTGTACAAGCATCCACAGTACAAAGGCATAATGAAATGCTGCTATAACTGGCCTCTTTATTCAGACTGTCTTGCCAAAGGCAACAGGGAGAGAACCCACTCAAATGCCCCTGGTACAAGACTCTTTCACAACAGCTGAGACAGGCTGAGAGAGAAGCATAAGGGAAGGCTGCCTGCTATGGCTGGCTCTCCCAGTTCTGTGGATGCAGAGGATCTCAGTCTCCTGGAACATGTCACAGGAGTCATTTAGGAAGAGAGAAGCCACGCAGAGTGCTGACGAACAGACTTGGGGCTAAAGGGCCAAGGAAGAAGATGGCAATCTGAACAGGCAAGAGTTGGGAGGTCAACAAAATTCAAAATTAATTATATATTGTGATCCAGGACTCAAAAGAGCAAAAGCTTGCAACTACTTTGGACTAAGCCAACTGTGGCCACAGAATTATGAACAGCACAAGCGGTGGCCTGAACCACGGGCCAGAGAGACAAGAGACTGTGTTGGGAGGGAGGGAGGAGTTGCTTTACACTATACTTCTCATATTCTCTTAAGCATGCAAAAGGTTAAGCCTTTCAACAAATGGATGCCCCCTTGGTCCCCAGCTCACCTGACATACTTCCCATACAAAAGGGAAAAGAAGCAAAGTTTGACCATGTTCCAGGAAGAGCTGTTATCATATCGCATGAGGTTTAATGCCAGAGCCACGTGTGAGTGGCAATTGTCACAGCAGAGGTTGTGCTAGAACAGAAGAGACATGCAATGAGAATGGCAGTTGCTTCAGGTCCTCTCTTGCCATCCCCTCTCTCAGTTATTGGAAGATGGTAGATGCTCCACGGCCAGAGAATTCTCCTACAGCCCCTAGGTCAGAGTTTAATAGAGCTAAACAGCTCCCCCAACCCTCTAAGTTATGTACTGCTCTTCCATCCTGAAGGCTTTCCCTAGGCAAGTGTGAACCTGCAGACACACAAGTATCAATAGTTGCACATAGAGCCAAACACCTGCTCTGGTCCCAATTATTACCATCTTCTAAAAGAAATGGGATTGGCCTTCAAGGGACTGGAGATGGCCATTTCATGGACAAGTGGAGAGGAACAATGGCAGGCTTGTGCAAGGGTCACAAGGAAATGTTTCCACAAGAAGACAAACAGGCAAATTCTTTTTTGCTGCATCTAATTAAATCAAGGCTTCCCCATGAACTAAACAAGGCTTTGTCCTCTTCCTTCAGCCTCAGTCAGTCCCCTAGACATTTTGGAAAATAAGGCAGCAGAAGCCAATGGGTAAGACTGTAATGCTGCTCTTTACACATCCCTCTGGAAACTCAGATCCAGGACAGCCCTGTTTTTAATTTCCCAAAAAAGATTTTAAATGGTAGGTTTAGTGATACTTGGTGATTTCATCTGTGATGCTCTGAGCCTGTAAGGTGCTACATGTTGTCAAAGTGGAAAAATACACTACATTAGAGCTGGAAACTGGCTGTGGCAAGTCTCAGTGCTGGAGATCAGCCCCTGAATTAGCCTGCAAGCATGTGCACACTGCCCCACTGCAGACCTCAGCTTTTACCCCAGGGTATGGTTTGCTGTGCAGCACATAGACTGGACCTCAGGCCACCACAGCCGTACCATTCGGTGCTTGTACTCTTCTGAGGCGTCGTGTACAGCTGTGTCCCATGCATTGGGACTCGTGGAGTACACTTTATTTGGATCCAGTTTCCAGTACCTGAATGAAGAGAAGAGAACCCCTGATGTAGCCACTGTTCATTCCATTCCCTTGCTGCTCCCTTTCCTTGCAGGCTGCATGAAGCAGAAGTTAGCAGACAGGCCACCATTCTTTCATGAATGCGACTCTGGGAACCCAAGGAGCTACCCTGTCCAAAAGGACATGCTTAAGTGGGTCTCAGGATGCTCCCCCACATCACGCCAGCTCACCCCAGACAGAAGGGGACTGCTGTGCACACAGCATGAACACTATTAACTCCAGGTCTCTCACATTTAAAACATACACTGCATCCAGAATACTTGTACATATAAATAGAACAAAGAGCCTAGGACCCCTCCTCCCCCTCCATGTGCACATGCACACATGCACACACACATGCACACACGCACGCTTTGATCTGCAGCCTGAAAAGTGAAATCATTAGCAAGATGTGAGCACTGAGAGTTTATCACTCAGCTTCTAATATCAATAACTTGTAGCATTTAAGACTGTCAAAATGCATCTGAAAGGGGGCTTTTAATTTATTAAAACTACTGTTGTAACAGATGCATCTATAGAGAGTCTCATATTAAAAGCAAAAGTTATGATATTAAAAGAGAACTGATTTAATTCACCTTCTTCCTTGGGAAGCAGAGACATTAGTTGCTTTTTTGAACGAGAACAGGCGATCACCCACAGTAAGAACTGTGTCACACTCCTGTATCGGTTTCAGTGAATTCAGAATATTTGCATGTGAATTCATTCAATTTAACAAGAAACAGTACTTACTTCACTGGCCTCCCAAAGGCCATGTTGTCTTCCTGCAAAGAAGAGATCCAGATCATTCAGTGCATACTGCTCTTCCAGAGTCCTTGCTTGCTTAGTGGAGTTGACAACCTACGTTTTCCTCTATCTAATTTGATCTGGAAGCAGAGCTTATTTGTTCATAGAAGTTTGCATTTCCAATTAATGCCACACCTATATTGTGCTGGTGACTCACCTGTACATTCTGCATACCCCCTCTATGCTTCTTTTGCAAACACCTCTTTCCAATTGCTGAGATGGTCGCATATTCACAGAAGCTGTAAATGATCCATTCCATCACAATGAGACTTGCCCTAATTTAGATCCCCTTCCATCAAAAATCCACCACAGTGCATGCATTTTTGTTCAACATGCTGGTTTAACCTTTGCTAATGAAAGCCAATGCTTCTCCAGGTTCACTAGGAGTTAAAAACCTCCCTTCCCCAATTCTCCCATTTTTTTATCCCACTCCACAGCTCATCTACATCAGCCTGTAGTCAACACCAAGGTGACTAATACAGTTGCATGAGTCACAGCTCCAGGCAGCCTTGAATCCAGTATGGAGATAGCCAGTGGAAATGCTGGAACACACAGCAGCCCCCTGCTCCTCAGAGATGTACACAGCAATTATTTCAAGCTTTTAATATATTTTGGAAGGGTGAAACAAGCAGCAGCTCCCACACCCTTCAGTCAGGTCAGAACATGACCAACTTCAAACACCTCCTTTATCAACCGAACCCACCAGCTACTTACTGAGACATAGTAGGGCCCTGCAAAGTCCCGAATGACTCCAGCCGACGTACAGATGCCCATATGGCCAATGATTGGGAAGAGCCATCTACGGAGGTAACAAAAGAATTGTCAGGGTGAGATACGTACTCGCCAGTCACGCGCAGAAAAAAAGCAACAAGTCAGCAAGGGACTGCTGGAGCGGCCATAAGGAGAACTATATGACAAGCTCACTGCAGACAGGCAATCAGCTGTCAACAGAGGCAAGGTCCTACAGATGCACATGGGGCACCCTGAAGATGTCCAGGCGGAAGAACACACGTACAGACATCCACCCCCACAGAGCTTCTGACAGGCTGTTCTGCAGAAGTGTTCTCTACATCAACGCTAAGGCTTTTAATGTGATGACTAACTGGAGTTTTTATGAGGACAAGGGTCCCAGGGGTCAGATTATTCTCAAAGAAAGAAGGAGCCCTAACACCTTTACCTGAAACTACCCCATTTCCTTGCTCTGGGTAAACTGGTTCTAGAAAGGCAGTCATCCTGAAGATGAACCAAGCCTCACAGATTGGAAATAAAATGTATTTGATCATCTATGCCACCTTTCTATTGATAACACGCTGGTTTTCACTGCAATCCTGTTTTACATGTTATAGATAATGGGGCTCCCACCACTAAAGAGAATATTCTCTAGCCTAAATGGGTCCCTTGTTCCTTAAAAGGCTCATCCCTCTCTGGTATTTACAGCCTTCAAAGACAGTTGAGTTATGCCTCTGCACCCTTAGTCACTGTTTAGAGCTAAATATTTACACCCTGGTAAGTAAGTCACTCCAGCCCTAGAAAATCTCCGATCTCCATCTCTCTCTGAAACAATGTGGTAGTCTTCTCCATCGCTTCTCCGCCTTTTGGGTAAGATCACATTTAAGGGGGGGGGGCATCTGAACTCCCACACCTGGGACTTAACTACAACTATCTAGTTTACTTGTCATCATTCATGCCATTTACTCTTTGCATGTCACTGCCTGGGACAGGGGTGGCCAACCTGTGCCACGAGTGCTGCCAGTGACACGGGCAGCCTCGGTGTGTGGCATGCGGCAGATCAGGGCCTCTGGGATGAGATGAAGTATGGGAAGTCTAAGCAAATAAATACAGACGTTACAAGGAAAGTAGGTGGGCAGCCTTAAAACCACCACAAAACTCAGCACCATAACAAAGATTTTCCTTTTTCATGAGAAGTTAAGTTGCTGTCATTCGCATTTCTAAAATGGGATGTAGCAGGTGTTTTAGCCCCCATCTCAGCTCAGGCACAGTCAACACCCACTGAGACCATTAGCAGGCAAACAAAAATAACTTCATTAGGGTTGGGATGATTTTGTTGCAGCACTTTACATATTGATTTATTTGGGAATGGGTTATGTGTATTCCAAGTACCTCTCTCCGTTGTCCTCATTTGACATGAACTTGTTAGGACACCATTAAGGATTGTCACGTTTGGATTGTTTTTTCCAGTCTCGTAAAAATATTATATACATGGCTGTAATTCTATTTATATATGGCTGTAATTCTAGTTAAAATGTTGTGGTAGGACCCTTCAGCATATTGAACAAAGAGGTTTGCTGTAGGTCATCAGGGAGGCAAGGGGTTCACAGTTTACAGAAAGTGGCCTAGAATCATTCAAGTTGCTTCGAAGCATTATAAAACATAACACGCTGCTATGGGGGTCCCTGGAGCTGTTCAGACAGTCTGGCTGGGGGTGACAAAGGCCATCACTTTTCACACAAAACCCCTAAGTAGTCATGGTTTGGGTCAATGCAAGTGGATGGTTTTATTCATGAGAAAAGCTACAGAGAAAATAGTGCCTGTGACTTGGGACCCAGGGTCCTTTGTTGCTCAGCACCCATTGCATTGGGAAGTTCTTCCATTAGATTGAGTGGAGGCAAGAGCAGGTTGTGAAAACAAACCTTCCTTGTCTTGTTCGTATGCCAGAGACCCATTATTCCCAGTCCTGAGCCCAAGCCAAGCTCCAGAGGCGGCTCACGGGTTGAGAATAACTGGCCAGGGCTCTCTGAAGAGACATTGCAACTACTCTGCAGGGGCTTGTCTATGTAAAAACTCTCAGGACAGGGACTGAAATAAAATCAACCAGGGGCACGAAGCAAAGGTAAAAGCTTCATCTTTACACACTGGCAGGGAGGCTCTCTGTCAGGTATAGTGGACTTAGATCCCTGTAGCTTAATGCTTTACTCCAAGAGCATCAACATCTTCGTACCCTTGGCTGATTTCCCTAAGGCCATGGCGAAAACAAGTCTTTAACTGGTGAGCAAGCTCATCAGCAGGCACCACACCTGTCCCAGGGGAGCAGTGCCCTGCCCCACCCTGCCAGCGACGGCGGCTTCACGTGAGCCAGACGCTGAACATCGAGACCACATCTCCAAACACGCAGCACGGGGCGCTGCAGCTACTGGGCAATTAAGCCTGTATCTCAGCTCCCATTGCTCGCCTTGTATTTGTTGGGCAGAACTGAACAACTAACTGCTTTACACCCTTTCTAAACAGGCTCGTCAGGTTTTTTTCTTTTTTGTGTACCATCTACAGCACGAATTAAGCAGATATAATTCACCACGTGACCATCTCTATCCTGGTACTGTGCTGCATCTGGGCTAAGAAAGCTTCTTTTTGTGTAGCTCGTGGCTGCTCGAGGGGCTTAAGCTAAACCGAGCACTTCCACAGGAGCGAGGCAGCGTCTGCTCCGGGCAGCTCCACCGGGCAGAGCAGGCCTCCAGGGGCTCGGCATTGCTCGACCAGGGGCTGGGGCACCGGGGCACACTGAGGTCCTTTCAAGGGTGCCCCAGGACACAGAGCAGGGCTCGTGCTCTCCGTGTCGAAGGCAGGGCGGATTTGCAACTTGGAGGCTCATCAGAGTGTGTCAGTGTGTAACGTGCGTCGAGTTGGTTTCAAGGGTGCAACACATTGTATTCCCAAGATAAAGGCAGCGTAGATTTGCACCTTACAGACCAACCAAAGTGTGTGCGCGTATCTATATATAGGTATATACAGCACAAGCGTTCATGAACAGAAGCTGACGTATACGTGTGTGCGTGTGTGTGCGCGCGTACATACACACACACATACATATAGACGTGTGTGTGTGTGCCAAGCTGGAGCTCACCCCGGCGCTCCGTGGCCTGCCCCGGTCGGTCTACAAGGTGCACCGCGCCTCCCCCCTTGGGCCCGGGGCGGGCGGGCGGACTCACGTGAGCACGGGGATGGGCGTCCACACGACGCAGTAGGGGAAGCGGCTGCGCTCCGAGTCGAGCCCGGCGCCGCCGCCGCCGAACGACTTCATCTTGCCCCCTTGAGCCTCCGCTTCCGCCATCACCGGGGCGGGGCGGGCGGGCGGAGCGCGTCACTTCCTGGAGACCGCCCCCACTTCCGGCGCGCCTCCCGCACTTCCGAGAGAACCCGGAAGCGCGGGGCGCCATGTGCAGCTTCTGCCTCCGCCGCCACGTGGCCGCGTCCTCGTCCTGCGCCCCGGCGGACGCGGCATTTCGTTTCGTGCCGGTATTTGCAGCCCGGCTTGGAGCCGGCACCTGCCCGGGGCGGCTCGGGCACAGGCCAGGCCTTCGTCCGAGACGGGGCAGCCCCCAGGGCAAGGCTGTGCGCGCACGTGTCGGCGCCTGTGGGATACGTGTCCCGCGTCATCTTTCAGGGGGATACCAGCTGGTTCCAAAATGTTGGTGTCTGTAGGAGTTTTACACCCCCCCAAGTGCCCTTTCTCTCTCACACACACACCATCCAAGTGCCCAGTCGTATATATACGCACAACCCATTCACACACACACACACACCCCCAAGTGCCCATTGATATACCACCCCCCCGCAAGTTCCATTCGCGTACACACACACGGATCATCCAAGTGCCCATTCGGTTCCAAATTCCACTGAACAAAGCTCAATAATTGTATCTTCAAAGACCCCAGGGGCTATAAAACTGCCCCTGAGCCCATATCCTCCCTCCCAGCCCCCTAGGCCAGGGCTTCGACCATTCCCATAGCCAAGCAGGAATCTTGTGTGCAAATCCCCTGCCTGGAAGACGGAGCGCCAGTGCTCCCCAGTCGTGTTTGCTCATGGCTGAGAAGCAGCCAGGTAAATTCCAAACCCAGTTGAGCAAAGCTCAAGAACGGGGCTAGGAAGGCCTAACTGATGAGCACAGGCTGAAAGAGCAATGGTTATTTAGCCTAGAGAAGCCTGAGCAGGGATTTGATCTCGGTTTTCAGCTCCCTGGAGGGTGATTATAGAGAGGATGGAGATGAGCTTTGTGGCTCTGGGGCACAGGACTAGGAGCAACGGCCCCAAGCTGCAGCAGGGAAAATTGAGGTCAGAGCCGAGGAGGAGCTTTCTGACGACGAGGGCAACTGAGCGTTGGAACAGGCATCTAGAGAAACTGGAAGCTCCATCCCTGGAAATTTTAAAGAGCAGGTTGGACTTGGCTGGGATGGGTTAGTCGGGGACAATCCTGCCTTGAGCAGCGGGCTTGACCCATCAATTCTGTGAGGTCTCTTCCCACCTTGCTTTCCTATGAATGTGGGCCATATAACTTCATCTAGGCCAGGCATCCTACATAGGCCCAGGAGTTAAGACGTTCCCTGTTATCCAGATTGGCATCCTGTGTACAAGTTTGGATGTCCCCTATCACGTTTGACTTTAGCCTACAGTGATTCTCACCCAGCACTGGCTGCAGCACCCTAGGGTACCCTGAAATCCTTTCAGGAGTGCTGCAGTGTGCCTCGCTGTTAGGCATGCAAATGTGATTCACAAGATAAACCCAGAGACTTCAAATAGGAATCCAAAGTGTTAAATACACTCTCACCCCTGATGTCTGAGTTCTCTGCAACAGAAGAATTACTCCCTTATTTTTATTTTTATTTTTTTGCTATGGGGAAAAAAGTGAAAGCTAAGCTGGCATTTTTCCAGGGATGCCTCGAGTCTCAAAAGGTTAAAAATGACTGCCACAGATGGTTTACTTTGGTCATGAAAATTAGAGAGATGAGAGGGGATTGGAAGAAAGCACCCCCTTGGGAAGGAAAGAAGTTGGAAACAAACCAGATCTTATCAAGAGAACAGAAGAATCAGATCATATGTGCTAGAAGAACTGTGGGAGGTGGTAATTGCCCATCCCCAGTGAATTTTAGATGAGGATCTTGGAACATTTTATAAATGTGGATTGAGTTCCAGCCAGTCCCGGGAGGTTGGTGTGGGCTAGATGCTGTATTTAGAGTAAGGCTATTTAAGAATCCAGAATCATATTAGAAAAATAACAGCTGCTTTATTAGGAAGTTCAATTCAACTACACAAGGAAGCTGGAAAAAAAAAAAAAAAAAAAATTAGTTCACCCCAGAGCTCCACCCCCCACAACACGCCCAGCAAGACACTGAGGTACGACTTGCCTGACCTCATCCAAGTCACTTCCTGCCCAAAAATCAGCTGCTTTTTCCCAGCAATCGCAGGGAAGCCAATCTGCAGTGTGGGTTGGCTTCACATGCACCACACTCCTCTTTGCACCCCTTTTATGACTCCCCCATCTTAGAAGGGATTCTGCTTCCTTGTTGCACCCAGATCCATGACTGCCGACTAGCAGACAGTGGGAACATGAGCCCACAAGTGCCGGGGGGAGCAATAATGAGTAGTGCTTGAGGTGTTGTGGAGTGTGAAGCCAGCTGGTGGAACGCTGCTAATAAAACAGTCTTGGCCCAGTTCCTATGCGCACATGCTTGAATCAGTCTCCTCAAGGAACACAAAGTAGGTGCAATGCATCTAGAGCGCTGCATTAATAAAAGGATTGCTTTGGGGAGGAGTGGGGGTGAAGGTCATTCATTGCTAATCAGATTTGGGAGCAGCGTTCCCAATAGCCAGTAGGATATAAATTCACCAGCCAAAAAGGCCCATTTTTATATAGATTTTTTCCCCCCTTCTGTCTCTGTTCTTCCGCGGCGCACACAGCCCCTCCGTTATTGAACAGATGCAGCCCCTCCTCAGTTTGAAGCTATTCTAGAAATCTTTTAGGAAAAGATCAGGAGAAAGTGAGGAGAGGCAGAGGGTTGATTTTATTCCATTTTAGCCCAGGGGAAGAGCTCACTTTGAGCACACTGGGGCTTAACACCCTCTATCCACAGAGCGCACACAGGATAAAGAGCAGAATTGCATGTTTTCCCTCATGTTACATCAGGCTTAAGTAAAGGTCTGTCTTGATTAGGATTTAAAGCTGCAGTGTTAGTAGGTAATTCAGCTAACATCCTAAAAGGCTAGTTAGGAGGAGATAATATACACTGTGCTAGCCAGTCAAGTTAGAACCTAGCTTTTATGCAGTGAGTTTAGCTTGTGTCAAAGCTGACTTTTCCTTGTTCTAACCAGTTTGTGTGGATGCACATTAGCTACTATCCCACCCCAAGTCCTAGTCTAGACCAGAACAACCTGCAGGGATGAACTTCAGCGCAGTCCACCCAGTTCCTTGATTGCTGGACACTGAGATGCCCCCAGGGGACTTTCACGACATGGACATCCGGTCTGCAGGACCTGGCCTAACATCCATCAATCGCTGCACCGATGGCAAAGGAGCTTTCAACTTGCGATGCCTTTTGCTCTGCTCAGGCTTCAGTCTAACCTTGACAGGAAACGGTTTATGGAAGAACGCTCTACTTCCAGCCTTCAAAGAGGAAAAGGCAAAGAGAAAGCACAAAAAAAATCTTTTAAACACAAACAATGCCCTAGCTTGTGGGGGGGGGGGATCATTTCCATTTCCCTTTCCCTTACAGACACCCAAGGCAGGCAACATTAAAGGGACAAATCTGCCTCCATTTGCTGCAGCAGAACTAAATGTTAATATTACATCTGGCAAGCTTGGACCACTGCCCCCCTCAGCAAGTCCATCCATTTCAGATTAATTCATATCCGATTTGGTCTTTCAGGTTTTCATTGATGGCAGCTGGGCAGTGCTAGAGACCAGCATCCTGTATTTTTCCATATAGCAAGTAGCACAGGTGACAGCCCCATCCTACCTGCTTCCACCCCGGCCAGTAGCTACAAGGCCATGCAGTCCTTGGGCCCCCTGCTCACCTGCAGTGACAAGGACCAAACTGCTGAAGGGCAGAGGAGCTTTACTGTAAAAAAAGGCACAAAAAAACTCTGTATTTCCAGCCCTTGTATCCCCCTTTAATCTCCCCCCACCCCACTTTCTGCAGGCACAAGAGACAGCCCACACTAGCAGAGCACATTTGCTTTGTTAGACAAGCTAGCAAGGCTCTCTCCCGCTGCTAGAAGTCCATCTACCCCCAATTTTCCATTTGAGAGAGGCAAGTCAGCTGCAGCTCGCACCAGGTTCTGCCTAGTGACGGTGGCAGAGAACTGGCACCCATCTACTCCAGGACACCTAGTCAGTGGCATGAAAAGGCTGCATCTGGAAAGCAAGCTGCAGGCTGCGAGTGGGGGGTGGAAAAATATCTTCCAGGTATCAAAGGATGGTACAAGGAGTGCTAGTCACAATACCTGCTGCAGCAATCTATGCCTTGCCAGAAAAGCAGGAGAGCAGAAACATCACTAGCCCCCCCATGGCTCATTGTGCCTCTTCCATTTGTGTTCGCACGCAGGTGGCTTGCGCCTAGGGACCCCTTCTCCTGTCATTCGAGGAGAGGGGCCTGTGAGCCTGGAATCGACAGGGGGGAAGCCATCTTTTCAGACCTACCCTTTAGAAAAGGAAGAGCCCTGCAGGGTGGTGGGGAGGGCACCAGTTTGCATTTACCCACCCAGTGGGGCATCTCTCTCCCCGAGTTAGCAATCAGACCAAAAGGGTGTGAATCCTTCCTTTCTGCTTACTCCCTTTCGAGTGCTGGCTCTTACCCAAAGACTGAAAGAAGCAGGCACACAACCAGCTTGTGCTCAACACGCAGCCTTCTCCCGAGCCTTGTCTGTTGTGACAGCTGAAGTGTTATAGGGACTGCCAGAACTGAGCCATTTGCTGGGGGGAGGAAAAAAAAAGAAATGGGGGGGGGTGTTGAGGGAGGGAACCCAAATTGACAAGCAAAGTGGCAGCAGCATGTGGGCAGCTGATGCCATGTGCAAGAGCCTAGGGAAATGGATCTGAAATGTCAATTAGGCACAGGTTGATGGAGGACACTTGAAAAATACTCCTCCTCCCTCTGAAAGGCTTGTGCTGGGGGGGAGCTGTTTTTCTTTTCTGCAGCCTGTGCCTGCTGCAGTCTGACAGCCACGAACAGCTCAACGCCAACCAGAGACGTCCGCTCTGTCTCTATTGCTAGTGGCGATATCAAACAGGGACACACAACCCCCCAAAACAAGCAGCCACGCCAGCCCCACATCCCATCTTCAACGTTTAGGGCTTCGCTTTATGGATGCCATTTCAATGCCACCTCCCCCTTCTCACCGCCTGCCACTTGCAAATGACTGGCTAATCCACACAGCAGCTTCTAAATTTAGCAGAGAGAAAGGGGAAGAGCAAATGGTTTCTCCAAGGGCCCGAGCTGCAGGAGCTCTCCCGTGATGGAAATGCAGGGTCCTGGCACTTTTCCCACCCACAGGCACCACCTCCCAAGGACACACTCTGAAAGCCCACAAAAGGGCAGTGCCCTGCCTCTGCCAGACCATCGCAGGCTCCCGTGAACCTCATTTCATGCAACATTGGGAAGGTTAAGTGAAGATTAGCCGGAGGTGGGGGGGTGCATTTAGGAGTGAGGCTTTCAGGAGAGACATTTCCTCACTCGACTTCCCTGCTTCAGTTCAGTTCTCTCCATACTGCACTCCCACTACTTTTTCCTCCCATCCCTTTCAGGTAGAGACAGCTTGGATCCACTGCCGGTGTCCGTGTAGGCTTGCTCCCTACCCAGTCTAGTAATCTGCCATGCAACAAGGCTTCTACCTCCTCCCAGGCAATGAGACCCCAACACCAGAGCCGAGTAGATTTTAGGGTAAATCTACTCCTCTTGGAACCCAAACCTCTCTTGCCTAGAGTTGCAGAAAGCCTAGTTTTACCCTTCAGTTATTCACATTTTCATCTCCTGGCTCTACAACCCTACTCCATCTCCTCTTTGTTCAGCATCTCACTGCAAAAGCTGATGCAAGGAGCATACTAAGAATAGTACAGCTGGCAGAGCACGTCTCCTGGCACGCTCAGGAGTTACTGTTGTAGGGCAGAAGGCTCTTGCCAAGGTTACGTTCACCCCAGAAGAGACACTCCCAGAGCAGGGTTAATAGCAGGAAAAAGATAAAATAAAATTTTAAAGAAATAGAGCAAGGACACCACACACCTTTGGGACCATTTTGGAAACATGCTTTTCCTCTTCAGGTCAATTCACAAACACTTGGCTTCCTCCTTCTTGCTCTCGCCTACTCTATGGAAGGCAGCATTTAATGAACTGGCCTAGCTTGGGGTTAAATGAATGTTTTGGGGGTGTTTTTTTCCCACCCATTTCACACGTAGCCACAGATGCATTTTAGTTGCTTCCCTCTGGAGGTAGAGACTAGCTGCAGGTTTCCAACAGGTTCGGCCCTTTCTGGTTTGCTGGCAGAAAACCCGAGCCCAGCAGAACCTGCTTAGTAAAGACCAGGGTGACAGCTGAGTATTTTCATTAAGAGACAGATCACCAGACACCACTTTCACGCTAGGCAGGAGGTCTAGAAACAACCCAAGTGCCTGATAAAAGGCAAAGGCAAAGTCAGATACCGCTACCTCCTTCGGGAAGAGACCCAGAAGTCCGGGATTCGCTCACAAACCTGCTTGAGATGAGAAATAAAAATACTAAAGAAAATGTCTGATCTGATCTTTGTGCCAGATTTGGCAAGAAAGGTGTCCGGTTCACAGCAACATGGGAAGGGTTGGAAATACCGAATAAGCGAGAGAACACGTGGCCTGTAAACCACGGCATATATAAGAAACTAGCCATCTCCAGAATGTGACAGCACATATAGAGACCGTCTTTCTAGGACTCCCCCCCCCATAAATTCCTGCATCTCCTTACAGTTCAATGGACAAGGCCCTTCCAACCTGCAGCATCCTGTCACTAGAGACTGGTTCAGGGGGACCAGCCTTGCTTCCATCTCCAAGGACCAGAAACCCTGCTGCTGTTCAGTAGGCGGCTGAGCCATTGCTGCTTTGTCCAAGCAAAGCCGAGGCGGTTGTCAGGGACATTTCAGGCTGCCTGCAGCATCAGCTTGGGCAGCCAGCAGGAAATCAATAGGTCCTAAACCTCTGCGAAGGCCTTTGCTTCAGGCAGTGCACAAAGCTGGCAATTGCACTGTCTGTTCTCGGCTGTGTTGCAGAGGTGGAGGTGGTTGCAAAGCAGCTCCGATGTGCTAAAAGCTGCAGGGGTAACTAGGTGCTGTCCCCCAGAGTCCTACCGGGCTCCAAAGCATTCCAGGTAACTTGGCCCGCTGTCAAAAGGGAAACGCCAACTCCACTAATTTAGAGCCTGTGGTTTGGCAAGAGAGCATCTGGCCTGTCACAGGGGAAGGAGTGAGGGGAGAGCAAATCTGAATCTCCTGCAGAGGGAGGCATTTGCCACTTTGAACTCTGTGCCCAATATAATGCACTGGATGCAAACCTTTTAGATGGCAAGGCCTGTGGAAGACAGCAGGCACTGACACTAAGGCTGCCTCCACAACCCCAGACAAGGTGTGCCCTGCACTGCTTATTTCAGATGCAAGAGGCCATGCAAGAAGAGGTAACAGGCCAAGGATGGACTGTTTGATCACTAGGAAGAGATCCACATCCTTCATGGGAGAAAAGAATAGGGCGATTCTGCGGCGCTTAGCTCCCTGGTACCTGATACTACAGCCTCCCCCAACCTCCTCTCTGGATTTAGCATGAGCTCAAGTGACCACATAGATCCACCCCTCTCCCAAACCTGCATAATGCATCCAGTTAGAAAGATGCAGACCTTTTAGTGCGTCAGGACAAGCCACCAGAGGCTCTCCAGCATAGCCAGCTACCCCCAGTCTCTCAAACTGCAGCACCCCAAGGAGCTTGGTTTCAGCAGTCAACCTCCAAGACAAGCCTTCGGACCTCCCCACTTCCATCCCCGTCTCCATGTGCAATCCCTCTTGCGTTGGTCTCCAGCGTGGCCTGACCAGTCCCCCGAACAAATGACAAAAGAGAACTAAAACAAAGAATTGTTTAATTGCTTAACCCTTTCTCTTCCAGGGACCAGAGAAACAGAAATATTCTGCTCCTTCTTACAAGGACAGTAAGGCTTGTGTGTTACCTCTACAATTGCAAGGGCAGTTTGAGACACCATCTTTAACACTGGAAAGCTAGGAGCAATGGTCTTTGCAACATCCAAAAGAATCTCAGAGTTTCCTCAAGGAGATCTCCACTGCTACAATACAAAAATAAAAGGAGGCATCTCTGCATATCCTGGGTTAGAAAGAGTTAACCAAAAAAGAGCGAAAAAGGGGCTTCGCCAGAGGAGGGGGTAGAAGAAAACAGCAGAGGTAAGTAAATAAAGCTACATCTCTTCCCCAGCATGTTTTTTCTTCACCAATAAATAGGAGTTCCTCATTAACAAGCAATGAAAGCAGACAACGTGCCCCCAAAAAGTGACGGGAAGGAGGGGCAAGAGCCAGAGGGACTTCCCCTCTTCAATCTGACTAATATTTCTCTTTTTAAACAAAGCAGCCATTTTTTTTTTTAAAGGCAATCCACTGCTCTCGTAGCTTTGTGCTGCAGCTGGCAGGTAGGGGAGCTGCTCTGTCTTGCTAGGGTAAAAATAGCTGTCACAGCATAAGCTCAAAGGGAAGTGACATCTCCCAAGGAGCCAGGGGTTCTGTTCTGTTCAAAGCCTCCAATCTCAGCCTATCTGAGAGTTTAAAAAAACAAAAACCCAAAGCCTAAAAGGCATTGCCTAGCATAAAGTGGGAGAGGGAAGGGAGACAGACAGATGCATCCAGGAAGCCTTCAGCAAACAAAGAACCCCAAAAACAAACACAGGCCACTTCAAATAAAAATAAGAAACCCACACAAGTGAAAACCATTTCCTGCCGCCACTGGGTTAAGAACATTGAGCGCCTGGGACTGCTGCCACACTGCTGGGGGAGTAGCCTGGACACAAGTGAATGGGCTCAGCTAAGTCATGAGCAACATGGACTGCATTGCTCAGATGTTAACTTCAAACAGACTAGAATGGGAGAGGTGCTAGGGCCCCTACCAGCCAAGGGCTGGCTTGACCCAGGCAAGTTGCCCAGGTGGGGAAAAAAAAGACGTGGGGCAAGTTTGCTGGACCTGAGAAACAAAGAACTGCTGCTGAGGGTCTGTAAAAGTACCTTGGAAGCCAGTCTCTGCTCAGCTGTCCGGCATGTTGCCAAAGACCCAGGAGCACATTAGCCCTGGGCCCCCCCCATCCACAGAAAAATGGAGCAGACACTGGCTGCCTTTGAGAGGCAAGATGTTCCCACCAAGCCCCCCCATCAAATTGCATCTGGTGGAAGAATGAGCACTGCTTGTCAGGGGTCTGGCTGCACCATATTACAAAGGACGCTGGCCATGGGACACGGACCTTGTTAGGTCCTTTGTGGCTCATCCTTGCTGTACGGAAAGCAGGTAAAGTGGTGTGTACAAAAGTTGAGGGGAAGCCAGTCATTTTGATCAGCTAACACAAAGCCAGCTCTCCCATCAACACCTGGCAGCACTGAGCAGCCAGAGAAGGAAGAGTGGGTACTTGTCCTTCCAACGCAGGTATGGGAAGACCAGGGACTCTACCGTGTGGAAGAACAGCCGTAACATAGCACGCCCATACACACGCACACATACACACACCCTGTGCCCCGGAGACCAGCGTCAGCACGTTTAAGTCTTCGGCAGGAAGAAAAAGACAGTGCAGAAAGATAGTAAGATCTCCAAAGGCTCTTTGGTCTTAGTTGATAGTCAGAAAAAAAAACTCCTTAACTTGGGCTGTAGCACAGCTGTGTTAGATCTATTTGATATATTTAATGCTTGGCAAGTGTGAGAGGAGAAAACAGGCTGAAAGTTACTTGGGATGCGTGGAAGTACAGTGCTGCATTAAAAAAAAAGTTGTGGTTCTGGCTTTGAAGCCAGCATGAGTAAGGAGAAAGAAGAGCAGTTCCTGAGAGGACCATTGACCCACTGCAAGGACTTCCTCCACAGCTTGTACAGGAGGGAGGTCACATCCATCAGGAAAAAAAATCACCTCAGCTGATGAAATCCAGAGCAGTCAACTGCACTAAAAATGCCAGCCTCTAAAAGCTCAAATGCCAGCTAGGATGGGTGCATGGCAGCCACACTCAATTGTAGAGCAAGGAGGGGGCTAGGAGAGGGGAAGGTAAAACAGGGCTAGCAGCAGCATGGGTGGAAGAGATGGAAGTGCTGTTATCAGCCACCTTCCCTGGGTAGCTTCAGTCACGCCAGTTATCCCAGCCTTAAAACCTCACGCCCCATCTCCTTTTGTTACCACCATCTTTCTTCGTGGGGTCACAAGTCACAGAGGAAATCAATACTTGTGCTGGGAAAGAGGTTCCTCCTCCATTCAACTGCATGTATTCAGTGTCTCCATTTATGCATCAGCTAAAGGAGATGCCCAAAAGACAGACAAGTGGTGGCCAAACCCTAACCGATATAGTCACTTTCAGCAACCGTGTTAGAGCCAGTGGCCAGAGAAAAGTCCCCTCGAGGTGTTCGTGGGCCAGATGGACTTTCTATGATCACCAGCCCTGAACCTGGGCCCAGGAGCCAAGCTGGCAGCAGAGCAGCTAAGCCAAGCATCAGAAACCAAGATCGCTGCAGTAAAATCATTCTGTAATCCCTGCCCTAGGTTTACGTTTTATTTAGCAGTTTAACATCCCCTCTGCAAATGCATGAACGGAGGCGATGCCCCTTCCGCCAAGCCATACAGCAGCGTCAGAGAAGGTCACCAGCTTACACTGCTCACAGACAACTCAAAATATCCTTACAGGGACTAAATTCCACTACAGGCGAACCCAGACTGCATTGCCATGCTGCTCAGTAGTGTGACAGGGGGGAGCGGGGAGAGGTGGTGGTAATTTAACAAGAAAGCCACTCCTGCCCCTGCCAGCTTGTCCTACTCTGTGCATAGTGTGAAACAGTGCAGCCGTTCATCAGAGAAAGTTCAGAACCAAGGAAACGGGGTTCCCGTTCAACAAAGCAATTAGAGGAAGGAGAGGCAGGTCTGTTTTAGCTGGGCCGGCACTGGACTTGCCCCTCCGAGCTGTCTTCATCATCTGAGCCTCCAGTCCCGCTACTAGTCAGTCCTGTGATCCGGTAGCCCATGTTCAGCAACATCACCTCCAAGGGATCTGCATTCATTCGTCTCTGGTTAGCTTGGGAGGCACCTTCCATGTCTTCCACCACGCGGCCATTGAGGGTTTCGCTCTGCAAATGAAAAAGGAGACTGCATGAGGAAGACTGTGCCATGAGACAACCTTTGACTCATGCTAACAAATACTCCAGGATAGCAGGTATAATTCCTACTGCTGCCCTCTGGAGCTCAGGATACCTGATGGGAAAACAGAGTCAAGTCAAATCCTGTTTAATGCCACAGGCTGTATCTGGTACCTAGTGGGTCTGACCCCATTACAACCCAGCAGCATAGACCTAAACCACACAGGCAGCCACACAGAGAGGGCAGCATTTAGAATAAACAGACATTCTCCAGCATGTAGGACAGAGGTGGACATAATGGCTTGATGGCCCAGTTCCTGCCACCTGTAGGGGAATTCAGAATCTAGCCATCTCTGCTCAGCTTTGGCATGCAGGAGAGCTCTGCACTGTACAGCGACTCAGAAGCACAGTTCAGGCATGAAAGTCCTCACTGAGATAGGGATGAGAGTAACTGCAGCCACATCCGCAGCTCACAGAATGGCATTTGCAAACACATGCTTGGGCAGAGTCAGAAGTGCTATCCTATGCAGACACAGTTTCCCTCTTGTGCTACCCAGGTTCACTCGGGATACCCAGTGTTCCTCTAAGCATTCCATAAGCATCCCCTTGTTCCATGAGCAGGAGAGGAGCGATCAACCCAGAGTGGTAAAACCCAGGAGTCTCTTTCCAACACAGCTAGTTTTCCCTGCTCCCTGTAAATCAGTCTTTGCAGTCCAGTTGCACAAAGGCAGTCTACCACCTGGCACAGAGTCCCCAAGCCCACTGGCAAGTATTTCTCTCTTTACAAATGCTCTTACCTCTGGCCTGGGATTCCAAAGCCGTACGACTGGATCGATGCCACTGGTTGCCAAGAAGCAGTAGCTTGGGTGAGGCTGCAGGCAGTTCACAATCGACTCATCCCCTTGCAGCACTCGCACAAGGTTGGTAGTGTCTTTCTCCCAGATGAAGAAGGAGCCATCATCCGAGCCACTGACAATGTACTGCGCATTGCTGAGGTGGAGAGAACACAGATACAAAGAAGCTAGCAGTCACACCTTTGCCGAAAGGTGTGGGGCAGCATTCTGGACAATTAAACCGCATCCAAAGCACTAAGGGTCATGGAAGTCATATGGGAAAGAAGAACCCTTTGCTACAGACCACAGAATGAGGATGGGAGCTGGCTGTCCCTCGGTAGGAAAGCCAGCACTTTGCTAACTTATCCTCATGCGCATACAAAACTGTAGTTCAGAAAGTTCACTTGCGACAGACCTCTCAAAACTAGCCAGGGTTTCACTGATCATTTAAGGGGCCTGCCAGTATCTTATACCTCACTACTGAATAATGAACATCAGAAACCTATGCACCTCCAGCTTCACAACTGGCTATTTCTAGATATGGACAAAGAGGTGGTTTTCTGCCTTGTTTCCCCCTCTTTCCAATCCATACAAACAGGCACACTGAAAAGATTGTTACCAGAAGAAAAAAAAAAAATCTCTATGCTTATGTGCTATTTAACCTGTGAATCTAGAGAAACACAGAGGTGGCTTCTAGTTGTACTGACAGCGGCAGTCGCATCACTAATGCTTCTGGTTTGCAGTTGGGTTTCCTTTCACAACTCTGAAGGCAGAGAGAGGCTGTGCATCATGACACATCCAGTCAATGGCAAAGCTCTGGCGTACTGTCCAGATCCGCGATGGCAACATACCTGCCAAAGAAGTTGGCCTCTTTGATATCCGTGGTGGTGTTGCAGTGGCCACAGTACCGGTATTTATAGTCATAGCTGCGCTCTCTCAGCACCATCTCATCTTCCGAAATGGAATCTTTGCGGCCAGTTGCTCGCAGCCGGATTGGGCCACTCCCTTTCTTGTCTTCAGCTGGAACATTAGTGAAGAGAAAGAAAGAGTTCCCCTCTTTACACATCATGCTTTGGAGAGAAAGCGTTGTGCATGCAAGAGACTACTCAGCTGCCAGTTCTAGCTGGTGGTTTACATAGGGAACAGGGCTTACCATGTGCCCTTTCTCTATACCCTTCCACCAACCTACCTCAAGTCCCTTCCAGCAGGGCCATCCCTAGAGCTCCCGTACAATCCAAAAACAAGAGAATGGCTACCTTTCAGCTCAATGGCTCCCACAGTAGATATGATATCACAACTGGAGCACTTAGCCCAGTTCAAAAAGAAAGGGAGGAGAATTTTCCACACTTAAGGAGCAGCTGCAGCAAAAAAGACAGAGCATGACACACCTGGGAACCTAGATCTCTCTGTCGGTTAAAAAAAATAGCAGGACTGGTCCTTGAAAGCATCAATTACAAAGGCAACTTTCAACTAGAAGATCAAATCATTCTCTGGGCATATAACTGATAGCACCTAACAAGCCTCACTTTAGGGAGCTATAATTCCGGGGGGACATGCTTCCTGGGGTTACATTAACATCCAAAGAGAATACAAGGACCATGCTGAGCACTGGCACCCACCGTTATCACTTTTAGAGAAGAGGGCTGCGTTGATGTCTCGGTCAAGGGCATCACAAGCGCTGCTATGTGCCTGTTCCGGGAACTTCCCTTTAAAGTCATCCAGACACTCCAGTGCTTCTGCCACATACTTCAGTTCGAAAAGGCAGCGGGCGAGACGGAAGTGGGCCTTCAGGTGGCAGGGGTTCAGGGAGATAGCCTTCAAGCAGTCTCTTAAAGCGTCGTAATGGTCACCATCCCTGCAGAAAGATGAACACACCCTGGAAGTGGACAAAGCCTACACATCCACCAGCCACTCCCAGTCCTGGAGCTATCTGAAGATTTTCTACTTCCCCAGTCTCCCCATGTGAAAAGGCTTTCCACTTACTCATTAGCACCAAAACCACTTGCCTACTTCCATCCCAGCCACCAAGTGAACCCAGTTTATTGACTGACACAGTACAGAAGGACCAGCGCCTGTCTGAAGACCTGGCCCCCTGCTCGCTCCCCTGTCAAGGTATTGCATATAGGAAGCCCCATGCTTTGAGCTACCAGGCTACATCCTACAGAGCAAACATTACAGGTGCAGACCTCTGGCTAACCAACAGCAGCCCCCTCCTCAAAGCAGCAGGGCTTTAGACCAAGGCCCTGGAACAGAACACAGCTTCCATTCCCCGCAGACAGTAGCTCAAGAGTACCCCTGTGTGGCCAAGTAAGTAGCAGCATGTTTCACTGTCCAGGGATCAAAACAACCAACTAAACAAGGGATCACAGAACCACCGCAATTTTATATTCCCTACAAGTCCTGATCCCATAATGTGGCAATTCTTCCTGTTCTCAGTGACAACCTGTTATACCCTTGAGTTTGGCAGGGAGAACTGAGGGGCTCTGGAGTGTGTCAGACATTCCTGACAAAACTACCCTTAAAACACCAGGCAAAGCCACCCTGTCTTCCTTGCAGATTTAAAAATCAGATGCAAAGATTAAGTGAATGACACAAGAAATATCTTAACCCTCTTGAGCAGAAGAGCCAGAGCCTAGACTGTTGGTACCATGCTTTGAACACATGCACAGGTGCAGAGTACTCAGTTTCATGGCTCTTCTACTGATTTCACACACCTGGCACAACCTCTCTGCACCCTGAATGGTCAAGAGAGGGCACCAAGATCATGACAATATATATAGGTTATACCTCTCTTTCTGAAGCCTGAAACTTAGGCCTCAGCACTGCTTAGTACACCAAGCTCTTTGGTGCACAGCTCCATAGCCTCCTGCAGAAAGGTCCAGTTCACTTACCACTTGCGCTTCATGTAGGCCGCAGCTCTGTTCCCATACAGCATGGCATTGTTGGGTGCCTTCTGAACAGCTTTGCTGTACAGCTGGATGGCTTGAGTCCACTGCTGGCAGGCAAAGGCCTCATTTGCTTGCTGCTTAATCCTTTCCAGATATGGAGGCAGCTCCACCTGAGGGCTACAGACATGAGGAAGAGTGGGGTCAGGATCTTCCCAGGGGTGGGGTGGGGGGAAGATTTAACCAAATCAGAGGCAAATATTTAACCAGACCAGACTACTGAAAACCTGATACTCCAGATCACATCCAGGGTCCATATTCTCCTGTTTCTGGCATTGATTTTTTACCAGATGTGCCACAGGAAGGTACAAGCAGCTCTTATAAGTTGGGTAACTTGCCCTTAGGGGATGTTCTTTATAAGCCCATAAACTAAGAGATGGCTTATGCCTTGGAACTCAAAGATGATTCCTAATACTCATTTAACAGTGAGTGCTTTAATTATCCATATGGAGCCACTCAATCCTTTGAGTTCTACTAACACCCTTTGGATCTAGTATCTTGTGGCAGCGAGTAGTGTAGATAGTGTTATTGGTTTAAATTTGCATTCAGGCATGCGAGAGCTCTCTTTGAGATGTCCACAAAGATCATTCATATGATTTTTGATATGTCAAAGACATCTGATAAACCAGCATTTTAAGGCACAGATGAAGGTGTTAAACTTCAGGTTTGCCTCCGCTTCTCCAATTCCAGGTAGTCCTTAAAAATCAAAGTAGGAAGGAGGAAAGCAGAGCAAATAGCTGGGAACAAGAAAGCTTTGTATTCATCCCCAAGACAGTACTGAATCAAATGCCATTACCAACCAGTGGCTGCAGAGGAGTGCATGCAGCTATTCTGGTGGCATTAGTTCAAGCGTGCAGCAAATAGGTACCCACATTACAACCAAGCCCTTTTGCCAACCGAGGGACAAGGGGACCCAGCAACAATCTTTCACCAACCACAAACCACCCTCTTCAGGTCAAGGAGCAGAGACCAGCTGTGGATAAGCAAAGGAGTTCAGTGTCTAGGCTTAAGGCCAGGTATCAATTTTACCAGCAAAGAATTTTACCAGCAAACAAGTAAGAAGATCTCTACCAACAGGATCTCCCCCATCAGGCTCCTGAAGACCCCTAACAGCTAGCAGATGAGCAAACCCCCAAGTGAAATACCCGGAGCAGTCACTGAGTGAGTGAGTTAAATGGAATCACATTCAACACAGCAGCTTCAGATCTGAACAGGAGGACAGGGCACAGAGCTCTCACCCAGACAAGTATATCCACTTACCTGACATGGGCTCGTCCCTCAGACAGCCGGAACCCATTGCTGTGGAGATGGATGCCGTTTGACACTCCGTTGGTTGATGTTTTGCCATTCTGCACTTCTGAAAGGGTGCAAACAACACACACACATCAAAGTTAAGAGGGAAACCAGGTAACAGGCCAGACAGATCTCCCCAATCCAGATTCAGACCAGAGGTAAGCAGCTACAATTCCACAGACTTCAAAGAGAAGTCTTTCTACCTCTAAGCACATACATTAGGGAGGAATAGCTCAGATACCAGGTATGTAAGCACTACAAGTTCCCTCACACCAGAACTTGAAAGGAAAAAAGTTGGATGCACTTAAAGCTGTCTCCTCACATAATAGAGGACAAGATGAAACTCATATGGAAGCCACCTTCAACAAGCTGGACTTGGGCATAAACAATCTACCATATCTGCCTTTGAGTACCAGACCACAAATGTTTTAAAAGTCTGCTGTTTCAGACAGAAGGGTGGCTTTTCAAGCTATAACCCTTAGGATCATCTCAGGTTTTATAGGTGCCTGGAAAACAATAATTGAGAAAAATATCATGGACCTGATGAAGGTAGGGGCTGAGCAAGAAGGAGAAGCAAGATATTTGGAGATTAAATCAGCATTGCAAGCAAGGGATCTTTGCTCTTCGTTACTCTTGAAAAAACAAGATAAAAAAGCCCTTATCTCCATTAAACTTTTGAAGGCCAATAGCACCCACAATGCTTGCCCCTTCTACACAGCTTCTCATTTTCATATCTACAAACTGTGCCTGGAACACAAGCGAGGGGCAAGTACTGTCATGTCCATACTGGAGGTTGGCAAACTCAGGGAGGATGTGACAAACCAAAAGACAAATTATGTCTAAAGCAGGGCTAGAACCCAGGAACTCGTGGCTCCCAGTCCCACACTCCTCTCAGCACACCTCCTTCATTAGCTTATCCAGAAGACTCACTTGGGTTGAAAATATCATGAACTGGCTTCCAATTGTCTTTTTTTTTTTTGTTCCCAAGCCAGCTTCCAAGTAGTTCAGTTGCACACAGGAGCAGAAACCAATGGTTAACAGAGAAGAGTGAACTGAATATAACAGATAAGCAGCCACCCAGGACATGCCAGGCAGGTGAGAGGGTTGGGAGGGCTCTACATCCTCCCTGGAGCTGCTGAAAGGTTTGGTGTGGAGACACCCACTAATGGTGCGATGTAAGTGTACATGTGCCCTCTGCCGGACAGCCTGAAACAGTGCAGCCTCTGCCCAGAATCTGTTCCTGTCATTTTGCTGCAACTACAGCAGTGGGTGGGAGGAAGTTAAGGATTGAGACCATCTCCCCTCCATGTCCTGCCATCGAAGCTGTGGACTCTCCAGGTACTATAACTCAGCTGATTAAGGTACTTTTGGGGAGGGAAGAGAAAGTAGAACAGGGCTCTTTGATTCACCAATCCACCTTTGCTTGGGACCCATTCTGTCACCTTGGATTAAAAGAAAGTCCAAATGCACTCTTAGAGGCCCAGCCCAACCGAAGGTATTGCCATGAAGTGAGAATACAGCCCCAAGGCCTTCACAGTGCTAAAGACTAGTGGATTTCCAGCAGTGGAAGAGGATAGACCTGCCAACTTTATTCTTAGGCACAGTTTTAAGGCAGTCCTTCACTCCTCACCCACACCTCTTGGCATTTCAGTTACTTCTGCATACTTGCTCTGTGAATGGCTTTTGGACCAAATGTACAAGTCGTGCTGCAGAAATAGCCAGGCTACTCCCTGCCCCAATTCAGTTTTCCGGTTCCAGCCCAGATCAGATTTCATGCTGGAAGGTGTCAGAGTGTATAACTTGGTTATGCCTGGCTCCCCCTTCCCTTGCAGACTCACACTTACCCACTGAAGTATGGCACTTCTTTGGCAGGAGAAACGTGTATGGCCGTTGCTTGTAAGTCAGGTCAAATAAGTAGACCTAGAAGGCAATGGGAAACCATGAAAAAGAGGGCAGAAGAGTTCATGACACACTGATGCAAGAACTATAATAATGAACAAGGCACCACACTCCCATAGAGCTCAGAATTTTGCCTTCTGTCATTTTCAAAGTTTGGTAAAATGTTTAACACACACACACAAAGACAAAAAGAAAGCAGTATCCAGCGTTGCGACAAGAAAATACAGCTTCAGAGAGAACTGTGCTGAGACATGGGAAGCTTGTTCTACTGAATCAATGGCAAGTAAATACCGCAAGAATTAACCGGAGACTGACTGGTTAGCAAAACTAAAGAGGCTCCAGCTATAATAGGATAATATCTGAATCATTCTATAATACAACAGCCTATGCAAACAGGGCACTGAATCACTTCTCTATGGATACGTGACAATCATAAACATTCATCACTGGGGAAAGGAGGCAAACGAGTCACAAGTGAGGCAAGCTATCTATAAGCAAATGCCAAGACTTCCTTCCGGCAGAGAAGCCCAGAATTCAGTCCCATGAAGCCCTGAAATAAAAATGCACTGCCACATGAGCTGCCAACCCAGATCAGACCCATGATCCATCTAACCCAACAGCATGTGTCCAAGACCAAAATAAACACAGGTGCTGAGAAACATGCAAAAAGCCCTATTTGGAATACCCTGCCCAAAAGGCAAGTCCCACCTTAATCCTCACTAGTTAATACCATCAGCAGGATTTTCTTGTTTCACTGGAATCTAACCCAGCCCTACTTCTGCAGGTGTTGATCTGTAACAGGAAGAGATTAATAACAGGTTTTACAGAGGACCCAAGAAGGTCACCCAATTCTTGGAAAGAAAACTTAAATACTCTCAGTGAAAGCCATAGTCTCTACTTGCACCACTCATCCTCCAGACTCTACTGCAGAACTGGTTTAGTGTTTCACTGTAGATTTTAGGGAAGATTGCCAAAGTGGGTCACTCAGGCCAGGAAAGATTTACATCTCTTCTGGATGGGAGAAAAATTAATCTGCAAAGCCACTATGAAATACTACTCAGATTGAACACTCCATCTACCTCCAAGGGAAAGAAGGTCATTTCTAACAATTAAAAAATGAATCTGGTCTGGAAAACCACCCTATTCACACTGTACTATAAAACATAGGTTTCAAACAGCCTGGCACACTGATGCTGCTCTGCAGAGTTTAAGTCAGGCTGCAGTGACCCCAGCTAATAAAAGCTGCAGGTGAACCTCACACCTAGACTTCAGGTCACAACCTACCTGCTCCCCTCCCATGTTAACCAACAGCTCCGTGCCATCAGGACTGAAGGTGACATATGTGGCTACTAGAACTCTCAGGCGATTGTTGTAGTCGGGTAGTTTCACTGGAAGATGTCCTGAAGAGAAGAGAGCCCCAGTATAAGTTACTTTAACTTGTAACCATCAATAGCCTGTTTCACCCTGACCATTATGGTTTATGGGAGACTGCTGGGAGGAGCATGCACATGAAATGCAGTCACATTCTAAGCCATTTTATACTGTCACAGAGCCTGGGATGACTTCCCACTTCCTGAAGTGCTCCAAGCCAGTGGTGCTCAATGTTTTCACCATGCAGGCTTACCAGGATCGAGCCTCACCCTCTGCTGCCCTTGCCTACCAGGATCAGGCCCTGTGGAAAGCCCTTCCAACCGGATGACATGGCACTGAGGACTGGATCTGGCCCATGTCAGGAAACTTGTTCTCAAACTTGCGTAACTGTCTTTTCATGTCTTTTTAAAACCTCTTTGGCATGGCTATGCTTATGTGTGGAGGAACCAGACCTCTAAGACTCATGTTTGCAGATCAGCTCAAGCCCAAAAACAGAAGAACACGATTTCAGCAAAAATCACCAGAACTGGGGCTTCATGGCACTCGCTAGAATTGTAGAACTGACCAATTTGTGGAAGGGTACGTATGAATACCTCATTTTCAACACTCCAGTGTGTCCCTGCCAGACTCACTAGGGCACAGCCTAAAACTGACTGCCTGACTATGCAGTACTGAATGGCCAAAGACAGACTGAGAGATCCCACAGTGGGACTTTAGAAAAAAAGCTCTTTAGAGAAGCCTCTCTCTAGTCTGGCTAGGAATATTCAGTCTGTGAGCACAGCAGTTCTAACTTGCACATATTAAGTGCTTTCAAATGCACTGAATGATGAGCAGAGATGAAGGAAGCCATGCTGACAGCCCCAGAAACAAAAGTCCTGCTTCTCCACAGGATAGGGAGAGCGCAAGGGTGTTGTGCTACAAGTATTTCAAGCAAGGTCCTGGCAGGACTCTCTCTAGAGGAGGGTTTAAAGCAGGGGTGGGCAAAATGTGGCCCATGGGCCAGATGCAGC